AAAACCCAAGCCTGAGTCTGTAGGGGCCTCCAGAAGCAGATGCAGAATGAGGATCGGCTGAAAGCAGAGACGGCGGCGTGCCCAGCCCAGCCAGAAGCTGGTGGGCTCTGTGCGTGCTGCCGCTGCCCTCCCCGGGAGCCTGTCCCCAGGGGCCGAGCGGAGGGGCATGGAAGTCACAGAGCATCCAAGGAAGCAGCGTGCGGCCGCACCGTGCAGCCGGTTGGGAATAAAGTGTCGACAAGTAGACCCCAAAATAGCAGGATTTCACTTTGGAAATGCCGATGGCTTTTTTAAACTGAAAAGCTCTTCGTGGTTGTGAGGAGTGTTTCAGGTTGCTGTTCCTTGCTTAAAAAATCCAATTTTTGGCGATGAGGTGGGTTTAAACACTCCACTTCTGCTGTCTGTTAGAAATGTGCAGTGCTGGTGGGAAAAAAAACCAAATGCTCGGGGAAGGTTGGGATGGCAGCCCTGTGGCTTCGCAGTGGGGTAGGCTGATCAGGAGCAGGGTCTGGAGTTTAAAGTCTTCCTCTGCCCCTGGAGGGGGGGGTGACCCTGGCCATCCGCCCGAGCGTGCGTGCCTGGCAGGGCGTGCTTCGGCGTGCTCGCTGCAGAGGGTTGGTGGTGTTTGTGGCTTTGGGCTGGTGTCGCCCACCCGTCCTGGCGGCGAGGGCTTTGCAAGGTGACAGAGCATTGCTGGTTCCTCATGAGAGCAAACTCCTGACCTGGTTTTTGTGAGGAGCTGGTGTGACGTGTCACATTTGCTGCAGGGAGGAGGGATAAAAGCATGGCGCACGCTGCGTTTGAGACCAAGCTAATCCCTTGCTGGCTGCCTGGAACGGGAGAGCTGCTGGGTCTGCTCCCTGGCCAGCGTTCTCCAGCTCTTCTCACTCCCCCCAAACCCAATGTGGGAACTGTCATTCCCCTGAGGTAGTCAAAGCACCCCCTTCCCCCCCCCTCGCACTCCTCCGAGGCCATGCATTCGCATCATTTCGGTTCTCTCCCTGCTAGGTGCCATGGGCCGGCCACGAAATGCTCGCGGACGCATGACGACCTCAGGCGTGCTTGGTGGCCAGACCTCACCATAACCTGCTGGTTTGCCGGTGCGTGGCCTTCCAGCAACGCTCCCTGCCCTGGTGTGCCTCCGGCTGGCTTGGCGGAGGGACAGTGCAGCCTGCGGAGCGTTGCAGCCCATCCTGGCCTCGCTTTTTGCATCCCTTCATGCTTTCCCAGGGAATTTCACGGCACTGCTCTGAGCCTTTGTAGGCAGGGTACGTTCAACAGACCAAAGGTAGAAAACAGAAGCCCTTGATGTTTTGGTGGTCCTGATCTCCGGTGTCCCAGTGCTGTCCCTGGTGCGGAGAGGTATGTCCATTCTGGTGGTGGTGAGGGACCAGGGGACAGTGTCGTGGTGAAACCGGCGCGTCTGCTGGGGGAGTCTCCGAACGTGGGCTCTGTGCTTCTCCGCTGGGACGCGGGGTGGCTTTGCTCGTGGGCTGAGCAGGGCGCAGCTGATGGGGGAGCTAGCTGAGGAGGGCGGAATAGCCTGTAAAACGCTCAGCAAGACGCGTGGAGAGGAGGGGCTGCACGAGAACAGCTCGGAAAGGCTTTGCAGATGGGTTTTGTGGAGGACGTAAGGAGGCTGCTGTGCTGGAGCCATGGTGCTGCGAGGCCGGGAAGCTGGGAGGGACATAGAGGGAGCGGGGCATTTGATGGAGAAGCCCAGGAACAAAGCAGGCTCCCTGGCCGAGGAGACGGGCAGGAGGTATTTCCAAGCCTCGCTGCTTTGTCAGAGCAGCGATGGTGCCTCCAAGCCCAGCGGTGACAGCTCGAGCACGTGTCACCAAACCGCCGTGGCTAATGCAGCCACAAGGTGTAAATGTCACTAATGAATAAATTGCCTTGTGCCTCGGAGAGGCTAATCCATCACAGCCGGGGATGGGGATCTGACAGGCTCGGCTATTTCAGGCAGAGCCTGTAGGGAGGAGGAACGCTTCATTTCTGAGCCTAGGGATGCCAGGGCAGGGCTTGGCTCTCTGCTGCTCCCCAGCTTCCCAGCCACACCAGCTCAGGGCTTCATCCTTCTTCACAGCAACCAAAGGAAGAAGCAGGAGAGGGTCTAGGTTAGCCAAAAGTGCCCTCTCAGCAGGGGTTGCATGGGCCCGGCCGGGGCTAGCTGGTGAGGGGATTTGGAGGGAGGCTGCTGCAGACAGGGCACGGGTGGCGGAGATGCTGGCGGGGTAAAGCCATGGGGGTCTCCAGCGATCAGGAGAGCTTGCATCAGCTGTCTGGGGTGCTGGGCTGTGGCCAGTCGTGTGTGGCACCATGTTTTACAAACGTACCATTTACTTCCCATTTCAGTTTCATAGTTTGCCCCTATAAGAGGTGACCTGGAAATGCTCTGAGCCTGCCCAAGCCCTCACCCAGTCCAGAGACAGCTCTACTATGCTATCCCGGGGGCAGTGCACAGGACACCCCC